ACATTTAGTGATAAGTGGTGTTGGTAGTTTGAACAAGAGATCAAGCCGTTTGACAAAAGTTAGCTTGCACGTACAATTAAACTGATAATTTCCGTGCGTTAAATTGTGTTGAATCCGTCTAGTCCTGCTTACGTTAAAGAACATAAATAAAGGTATATTAAATCTAAAGTTCATTAAACTTACGTTTCCCAACCCCGATAATCCGGATGAATGAATATTGATTGAAAAATGAGTGTAGGGCTGACGAAATCGTGGCTAAGTCAAATCTGACAGACTGTATAACCAAGGAGTTAGCTGGCCTAGAGGTTTACATCTGTAATTAGTTTCCGTATTAGTTTCGTTATTAATAGTACTAGCAATTTCCTCTTGTCTCTGACCGTGCAATTGACTAACAGCTTATTGTATTCATATTAGTACCCATATAATTAAATGCAAATACACGGCGACAGTTGATTTATTGGAATGCGAAGCATATGACTAAGGAACTTGAGAAAGTGCATATTTAATTAATGCTCCGAAAACAACCTGCTGCATGCTGCCGAACACCGGGTGACACAGTTCGACAGTAGTGTTCAAAAATTCTCGCCGTTTGTGAGTACAGCTCCAAAACGCTGGTCATATTATTTTGCACCTACTATCTATGCTAACTTATACCAGTCTTGTCACTGCGTTGTAGTCTATACGCAATCATAATTTGGTCCATCAACCAATGGAGTAAGTTATCTCAGTTTTGATTCTTAGTTATTTGGATATGCGTAGCCGATGAAACTGTACTAAATAACAGTGCCATCCCACAACATCCATTTTCTGATATTTTTATTCGAAACTAATTAATAAGTCGTTCAATAACGTGGTGTCGTTCTTCCACAAAGTTTGAAAAGTACGTTCTGTTCAGGTTCGTTCATTAGCAGACACATGTACTCTAATGAGATAGCGCATGATTTGAAGCGCATGGCGCTATTCGTCGTAAAACTCAATGGCAGTTGCACAACACATGGATGGGATCAAAATATTAGCTGTTATTTCCGTGATAACATTGATCTGTGTATTTCAAGAGTAGCCATACACGTGAATACATGAAAGAGGACGGAGTAGCGTCCTTAACTAACACCTCGTGTTACACTTCCGCATTAGCAGTTCGTGTATGCTCACATCGTAGTCAAAGTTGCCACCGCAACTTAACGATTGCGTTTATGTAGACAAGCAAATTGTCCTGATAATGTTAAATTGCCTCTAAAGTTCCAAATCTAGTGTATCAATTAAAATTTAGAAATTTTAGATCGCAGATTCTTTTCCTTTTCCGTTTGCTCACGTATGTGGATCGCGCGTTAGTAAGTCAAGAAGTACTTTTCGATTGATACTGAAATTCTCAACATTTTTATCCTTCGCGATTCATCATAACATTTATATTAGGTTCAGGAAACCCACGCACGTGACGACTCAGAATAGCAAATTAGTTTTTTAAAATAATACCGATGCAAATGCTTTTAGCGATTTTATAGTTAGCTTTGTATAGAGACATAATCCATCCATACTGGAAAAGATTAATTGCTGAGAAATGTTGCATGTTTCCCATGGCGGACTTGTGGCTTGAAATACATTTTCCCTTCAAGCATAGTGTTTGCTTAAACGTCAAGATTGTGCTTTCCACTAGCATAAAATCAAGTATGGTAATTTAGCTGTCAAGGGTGGCAGACTTCTTAAAAAACCCGAAACATACAATACACCTGCATTATCTTTTTAAAATCGTTTTTAAATTCATGGCACCATATTATAAATCTACGCAAGCACCTGCGCTAATACTAATGAATTGATGGAAAGTCATTAAAAATGCACACGGTAAACATCGACAGGTAGAAATGTACTGAGCCCAGTTAGTGCATAGTTTGTTGTTTGGCTTAATTTCGTGACAGAAAGTAATATTCCATTTGACTAAAGCATGAGTGCGCTTTATACACTATGCTGTTCCAATTATTAAATGGCTTTTTAAAATATCACATTTGATTGCTTATGTACTACGGCAAGAACAGCTTTAGATGAACCATACGAGGCCTCTTTAGGTTTTGCTGATGTGTCTCTGCCCCACCGGAGCAATGAAATTAAAAAATTCGTAACTGTAAACTCAGATTGGTTCTTGAACTTTGTCCATTCTATTTATAACGCCCCACAAAAATTAAGTACACAAATCGTTTAATTTTTATTATTTAATCTTGAGTCTAGCAAGAGAATATGCGTTGTGAAACTGCAAACATGTTTCAGCCATCAGGGATTCAGCGTGCACTAGTTCCTGGAACTCGGATATATGTAGAACATTTCCCTTCTTGGATATTCTGAACTGTGGCGTGGACATAAAACAACTTTAAGCTAGTATCTTGGTCTTAATCTACGCATAGATACCCTCTGAGAAACAAAAATATGAGGCATAAAAATCGAAATTGGTAAAAGATTGTATGTCGCTTTTTACGGTATCTCATGATCATATTATGCTCCCCGAATATCATTTCCCATAGGGTTTCCTTTTCCAGGTATCATAGCCCACGATGTAACCTAGATGTTTCAACCAGTTAGGCAGCGCGTTACCTAAAGATCTGAAGCCAAATTTCTAAAACAGTTCGTTTCAAATTTACAGCCTAAACCGAATGGCCACGAAGATGAACCTACCAAGATTGTGTAACTAGGGACACTTGCGATTAATTTTTGTATTTGACACACCCGTGTCAGAATAAAATCAATGTGTATGTTTCCCACCATTGTCAGTTAATCTTTTGTGATTAAGACTGGTGATTGCTTTTACATGTTTTCGTAAATGATACCTGTAACAGCAATCTAGATGGCGCGTTGCAATCCAGACAAACGGCAGGTATTTCAAGACCCATTACTTAACTACTAAGCCTAGTGTCAAGCGTTGCTGCTATTGACCAAGTCAAGGTACTTCAACTACTGTGTTGAATGCTCTACTCAGCTCAAACTATCTCTACCTGATGAGTCCAAATCAGGACGAAAACAGTCGGTCGTCAAGTGCAGTTTTGCGAGAAAGAAGTTCGACTCTCTTTACTTCAGATGCCGTCCCGTTTATCGAAACGGCGTAGTTCTGCTTCAAGCAACATGTAGCTTAAAAGAGATGGCGTGTTGCAAACCAGATACACGGTGGGTACTCCAAGATACAATAGCTAAATTCCTATCGCCGTTTCAGGCGCTGTTATGGTGCTGTAGTCAACTTATAATGACTAAAGCGGTCAAACATTGTGTCGAGTTCAGCACACAGCTCAGGCGACCTCTAACTTTCGTGACTAAATCAGGACCAAACCAATCGGTCGAGAAATGCAATGTTATGGAAGAGCGGTGTCGAGATTTTTCACTACGGACAAGTTTATTTGAGAGACTCAAATTTGGATTGATTTGACTGGGCTTGGATAGTTCAGATGCAAAACTTTGGGCAAGTTGGTGCGATCCCAATGACGGAAACGCTTCGTGGAAGCTTGCCTTATCAATCAAGTTCTGGGATCATAAGATATGGCACGGTGGTTTCCATCGTATGTTTTGAAATAAAAAGGGAAAACCCACTAGCTTGCACATGTTGGTACCAAAGATAAACTGGCCTGATACTCAGGTATTGCCGTGTCACTGAAGACACTTGTAGAATGTAACCAAGCGTATTTGCAGGTATGCTAATTGATCCAGACATTGCAAAATGCTGGGATGAAATTTCGGTGAACGTTATCCACAGCCATTCTGTAGGATGCAGTATTTTATAGAATAAAAAATAACAAAAATATTTTGTGCGGTCACCGATCAAAGTTAACCCTCCAAGGAGCTTTCGTTGCGCTATTAGTAAGATGGATTCCAACAGAGTAGGTTGTTATGTTTGCTGGGAAATTTGAAATTAATGAGACAAATGCCATCATTGCGCAACTGTAGACTAACTATCCTAGTGGCAACGCACTGCAATAGACGCAGCCAGGAGGTTTGGCTTATATCAAGGAGCCATCAATCAAAAAGTATAAATCCGTCATAGTAGGAAATAAGTATTAATGATACAGCTATCCATTTGACGAATTTTGTCGAATACTGATATAGAGTAGGATATTTTTCTCTTCCGGCAGATTAAACAAAATTGCACATGCAATCAAACCACGTGGTTTCACTTCACACGCTTCAGGTTATGTAATCCATTCAGGGCAAACTAATGCGATGGATCGTGCTCACTTTAGACCAACATCCATGCCGTTATTATATGCGATGGTCATTTGGTTGGGTACAGCGCATGTAGTTACGTGTAAAAAGCAAAACATATTCATCCACTTTTGCAATTTGTTAATTTGCTGCGCTACATATCAAAATTTCGTAATGAAAAGCATGGTGTGTTAACCCATGCCTACCGTGATATTAAATTAAATATAATATTATAAAAACCGGCATTTTCGGTCTCGATTTTAATCTACCCATTACCTTGTTATGTTGTTGTGTGAATAATCTCTCCAAAAGTATCATGTGGTACAGCAGCTTACTTTATCGTTTGAAGCACATAAGCTGATTTATTGTACCAAGTAATTTCAGTAAACACCCATAATCACCGAGGTTGTGAAAAATATTACCAAGCTGTTAAGAAAGCAGTGCAAAAAACGACCGAAAACACTAATCCTGCTAGTAATTTCATTTTCTAAGTGTTAAAACCTGCTAATAGTGACCCTCTGGTTGCCGATTAAATGGATTATCCTGTCCTTAGTAAACGTGTCAGGAAGTTCTTACTTTCAACATAACAATGTGTACACATTTTCATCTGTAGGCGATTAGTTAGCAAGAGTTAACCTGTATTTGTTTCGTATGCATAAATAATTATCAGTAAGGTTAATTCCATGGCAATAACATATGGAAGTGTCGCAGAATATTTGAGATAGCAGGTTGTTTGACTACTAGCGTGCGATATATTTGAACGTGCAGAGTAGATTTATTTTAAGTTGGTAACAAGATGACATTATCACGAGTCATTCACAACGTACCGATTTCCCTTCCACTAGTAAGAGCAAGTGTCAACTCGACTGTGGCGTTAGCAGATAAGACTCCTCTTCTCGACCCCGGTACTCCCCATGTGGCTTGACAGACGTAGCTTCCAACATCTTGAAATTCCAGTGATGGTAAAACAAGCCTTGCATCTTCTCCAACGACTTGGTTATTGTAGTACCAACGATAACGTACAGGCATATCTGGAGGCGGCGCCACATCACACAACATTTCGTATGGACGATTAACAAGCACCTCTGGAGTGATTGGCCTGATTTCCACCTTGAATTCCGCTCCTGCAAAATAATTGTGTCAAAGAGAAGCACACCAAACACATATCTATTCATGTTGAAAATTTATGCACTAAATAATACAATACAATTTCTAGTTTTTTTTATTTTTCCTCATGTACACGGACGTCTCGAAACGTACGCTTGTTTCGTAATTGCTTTATGGGTTAACCTCAATTCCATAATGACGCTATAATACATATTATAGGGAGGCATAAACGAGGGTTACAAGCATTATTTAGCACAGGCAAAGTATTGAATCAGACTTCAGTACCAAAACAAATTAGAAAAACACAAACGGAAACTAAGCTACTTGAACAAAACGTTTCATTAGAAGGTACAGGTTTGTACAAATTACAAGAGTGGTTATTTATAAACGATGTTATTCTATCATTCAAGTTACGAAAACTTTCATGCATTATGACTCCAAAATTTTGCATATTGACTCCAAATATATAAGTATGCAATAGCTGGTAATGACCACTTCATAAGTTTGACATTCTTGCTGGTTTGCTTTTGCAAATGATAGGCTTATAGAAAGCTCTAATACGGAGGTGCATTGCATCTCGTTTTGAAAGCAACATGTTAGCATATAGTAAAAGCTTTGAATTTGCTGATTTTTATTTAATGACAATTTCCCTGATTTGACGTGTTATTATTTCTTCGTTTAAAAGTGCAAATAGAAAACGTATGGAGTTGACCCTCGGAAGTGTGACCAGTTTGGGCGAGACCCCTAAAGCGGTCAAACTACAGAGGCTGATAACTTAGTTAGCCTAAATGGCCTAATGTTTTATCTAAAAGCAAATTCGCAATTTCCCAAGTTGTTAACATTTCAGGGCAATCCGTTTAATATATATATATAATATATATATATATATATCAAATTTAAAAATGTTTAAATTTGTGAGCACGTGACCAAAACGGGAATATTCTAAAGAAAGTTGTGGTTCCTCTGTGGTACAATGGTTATTAAGTAATATCACGATATGCAATCCTTTTCCAAGGCATTTAAAGCAATAAAATCGCAGCATAACCAGCGTCCTCTTGTTTAAATGGTTGATATAATAATCATTTTTATTTACTTCTTAACAAAAGTGTTACATTTTACTATAAAGTTAAAAAAACTAAGAAAATAGAAACTGAAAAGTATGGTTAGCATTTTGCTTTTGATCATCTCCCATAATATTGGGTTTAAATTTGTTAAGCAGCACAAAGTATAGTTAAGTAAACCTTACGTTTATTTCATAAGTTCCTGGCCTGTTCTCTGTCAATTGCCATTGAACTAAAACATATCTATTTTTCCTAACCCAATTATTTCCTTTGCATATTACACGCTTCAACAACATCAGCACGTTTTCCTTTTGCACGGTTGCGTTGCTGCATTACCACATATTATTTCACAGTATACAAAATTTAATGGTCAGGAATGTAAGTAGGAAATAGTGTATATAACGTGGGATTTTATTCAAAGGCTGTCGAGTGATGCGGTTGGGGATTGTGAAATCTGTTAGAGTTTCATTCAGCTCTTCACACAAGCCAATCTCGGCGCACGGAAGCCTGTACCTTAGACTTTGGTGATGAATCTGATTTACGCATAAATCCTGCTAATATCCAAAACCCACCCACCGAACTAATGGAATGGAAACTGCACATGGATTTACAATGAATTAATACCAATATACGTTTATTTAAATGAACTGAGGATGATTTAAATCCTTTTTTGAAGCGCCACGTAACGCGCCATATTAGCTCAGGACGTGTGAATGTCTGGGTTGCCCAATATTTCATGCTGAGTAACAAGCATTTCAGCTGTTTGATCCTTATCCGTTGACACTTAGTATATAGGCTGTTAGTCGCTCAAACCTGGTGCTAGGTATATGCAAGTAAAAACAATGCAATTATATTATTTTATTGAAAGTCGGATTTGGGGTACTTGCCGTATGGTCGGATTGCGACACGCAATCACAATTTGAAGGAAACCCGGGTATCCAGATCACAAGATCTGTACCCGAACACTGCCAAGGGATGTGCGTGGATCTTAGTGGGTTAATGATCAAGCCATCAACCATTGTACGCTATCTTCCAAGTGCCATCCCATCGAGGTGTGGTGCCCGTGTCGCGTGGAGCAACACCGATATAACATTATATGTTATCAAACATTGTTTCAGATACTCAGCTGTCCAATAAAGGTTCCAAATATTTGTCAATAGTATAGAGCAGCTAGAATGTTTAACCTCCTGGCAATGATTGCTATTTGAGTTATGTATGCTGTTTTGAATTTATCAACATCAGCCAATCCTTATCTTCTGTCGCGAACTTCGTTGATTGTTAGTTTTTGCTTTAACCATAATCATATTAGTACTGGCTATTTGGCACAAGTGGAAGACTAACCATATAAATTCGCACGTAACCTTTAGAAACTATAAAAAATAATCTTATTTTACTTCCTTCAGAGCATGCAATTGAAATTCGTGCAGTCCTAATGAGAATAATTTTGAAATTTTGCGTTGTCATGACACCTGCAAAAGTACACACATGCATCATATTACATGAAATGTACGACAAAATTTGTTTGAAATATCATTATTTATCTCGATCTGCTCTCTCCTACCTTGGGTTGTTGCCATGCGCGCCACATGGTATTTTGCTTGGTATACGGTGCCCGATTGACGGTGAGTCGCTTCACAAGTGTAGTTGCCCAAATCGGCCAGATTTTCCAACTGCACAATATTATCGACAATCAGACATGGAATGGGAAGTATATTGGAGCGTGCAGACATGTTAGGGAAGTTCGAATGAGGTTGTGTGAGCGGACTATCTTTCATTCCGTTAACTAAATGATAATGTTATTGCATACATGGGCAAGGATAAGTAGGTTTGCCGAATGTTTATGCAAAGATAATGAACGGTGAGCAGTGCAAACGCGAAAGGTTGATAGCAGGCAGTAATGATAGGTGAGTTATCACAAACGCTAGGTAGGTATGTATGTTCGACGGAGAAACTGGACTGATCAAATTCAATAAAATATGGGTGAATACAACATGCAGATACCTTCTGACTATGAGTAAAACCGCATCTTATTTTACACTTTTACGGTCTCAATAATGTGAAGCTTTCCACAATTCATACTTAGAGTGGCTGCTGTTTGCAGATTTAACTTCACCTGCATCCAAAAGCGAAATTTCTTTAAGAAGCAAATAGTTTCATGTACAAGATAATCATGAAGTATTTATCACATACCAATTGTAATCTATCTAAATATTACTGTTGAAAAGCATTAATCTAAATCGTTCTTAACAGAGTCAATATGGTTAATGCTTGCAAACCTAGGTTGCTTAGACGATATGAGCTAATGTCTGCAAACAAGTATTAATTTTTGCTTATTTATTTTATAAGTTTAGTTCATTTGTCTACTTGGTGTATCAATAACGCTGAGAAATTCACCCCTCTGCACAGAACTGTTTTGACAAACGCACTAAGTATGCATGGCCTGTCAGCGAAATTTGCGGTGTACTTTTAAATTTTTATGATACTACCATTCACACTATGCCCTGCACACGAGATTTGATTAATATTGTTAACGTGAAAGGTCAAGGTGAAAGCTACAATTATGAATTGCATAAGTTTTGTTTAATTTGTTGCCTTAAACCACGACCATCTACTTTTGAGATTTTTCTATTTAAGCATTTCTGGTTTCCTAGTTCCTGTCTCTTTCCCTCTGATCCTTACAGTTTACAGCTAGCACAGTGAATCCAAAAAACGGAGGTCAGTAATTCAAAACAATTTTCTGATTTTATTGACCCTTTTAAGCCAAATGGACTGCAGCTAATTGGAAGGGGTGAAAACGCGTGCCTTCCAAATTAATAATGAAAATGCATACAGTTAACTTATTGAGAAAAGCTTGCCATTTGTAAGAAAATGGTTAATTCTAGGTATTAAGCTAACGCTTAAGTTTTTACAAACGTGTTGAAATAAAGTGCTCAGTTGCGTCCACGGCGTTTAAACGCACCAGTAAAATCAAAGCATCACCACTGTTTACGACGCGGCCAGATCGATCAAGCCATCGAAAATCGAACTGGTCATTCACATCCTGTTCACCTTCGAATAGGCACTGTCGCATTATTCGACCTTGCGACAAATCTTCCGCCGGCAATGAGCGAATTGTCAACTGCAGGTTTTCGGGAATGGTGCTCCGGAAAGCCGCTTTGAACGTTTATCGTTACCGTAGTGAGAGAAAAATATTGCAAGAAACTGGATGAGGTCAGGCTTAATGAACAAATAGTGAAAAAACACCTGAGGTGATATATAGCAGGCATAATGTTTATGGTGGATGCAACGCTGGATCAGATGAAGCGCAAGCAGAAGTTTCAGGGTGAGCATATAAATGAGGTGAAAAATATCGTTATACATTTCAGAATGATGAACTAATGCTTAATCACAAGTTGCTGTTCAGTTATGAGGTTGTTGTGTGGGTGGATTCATGCAAACGTCACGCAGATACAGATATAATAGCGCATCATAGAGCTGTCAGATATTTCGGGATTTCTAGTTAAACGGTTTTTACACAATCTATTTAACACCGCGTAATATTTGATTGCCAAGCATGGTTTTACTAACATACATTTCATAGCGTTTTACAGAAAAAAGGATTTCGAGTACACAAATTCGTTGTGTTTATCTGAATAATTTAACACTTACCGACACGTAAGTTAAGCATTTGTTCGAACACTGCTCCATCTGCTTGACGTGTTACTTCGCAATATATTGGATATTCTAGTTGACTCTGCGTCACCGACGGGATAAACAACACGGCAGTATCCGAGAGTTCCTGCGATGAACGATCTGGCAAACGCCGTATCCACCGATAGGAGTAGGGTTCGCTGCTTTGTACTGCACAACGTGAATACAAGTCGTCACCGTCCACGATCTCTAACGGTCCGGGAGTTCCCGGCGTCAGATATATAACTGGGCTTTCTTCTTGACCGTAGCCAGCAACTGATATATCGTCCTCTGAAAAAACAATGAATATTGACATAATGCGTTTCTGAAACTCTGTTGGTAACACGAAAGTAATTTTGCCAATACTTATGAATAGGTTTATTAAAAATCCATCTAAAAATACAAGCAAACAAGTAACCTTTTTCTTTCGTTATATCGTCTTACGTTTAAACACATTTTACTGTATGTACATATAATCGGTTTGATCTTTAGTCGTAGACTAGATTTTTGGTTTAACTAACTTTTGTGATTATTTCCAAGTTAAACAAATGAAGAAACATAGAGAAAGAATGTCCGTCATTGATCAGCTAATAGTAATCAGTGATCCGTAGGTCATTACGCTCCCATATAGTAGATAAACTAGATAAACTGACGGTTAGTATCTGTTAGTAGAGCATGTGAGAGACGTTATCGGGGACGAAGTAGCGTAATTCGCCTTGCTGGATTAAGTGCGTGCAATGGTTTGACTTTAGGCTGTCGAACTCAGTGTCTTCCATTTTCACTAGTCCGGAAATCTAAGGTGCTCTACTAGCGTTTCTTTCTAACCCAGATTTGGTCTAATAATTTAAGCTCAGATGGCTTCAGCCGTCCCAATTTACGAAGGAGTTGACCTTTTGACCAGTGGGTGCAACAGCGAAAAATGTTTTTAAAGGGGGGCTTTAAGTACATCGGATACTGGTTATCGAAGATATGAGTCGGAACGGAGCTGCTATTGGCTCCAGCACCAACTTGGCACAACCGACGTGAGTATAGTTTGTTCGAGCCCAATTCAAGTGCCACTTGGCCAATATACTTTGCGCCACAGGTGTACCTAAACTACAGGTAGTCAGTAAAGGCAACTTCTTTTTTCGTGAACGAATGTGTGGGTCGGTTGTAAAGCAAGTACCTAAGTGACGCGGTTGAGCAAGTCGAGCATAGTGTTGCTAAGACATTAATATTTAAGTGCCCGGTAGTCACTTTCCCTTTAAAGGGTAGTCGTATGAATTTTGCTACGTTTACCCTGGCAACACTAGTATTAAATCGGCATTTTCTAACAAGCTCCTAATAATACATGCAACATGTTTTCACTGGTTACATAGCTCATTCAGGATAAACGTCATTTACTTCACTTCTTATGTTTTCTGCTAAAATTTGATGTGCCCTCGATCCAATACAGTGAAGCAAGTAGCAAAATTATGGAAATGCGTATCCTGGCTTATCCACTTTGTCTTTCGGTAGACCTTTTGCTAGACGGACCTAAGTGATTTTGTTTAAAATGACCGCCAGGTAAAACAGCCGATTCTCGGTAGCCTATTGCTACTTGGACTGCAGTTCCCTATATTCTCTGTTAAAGTGCTCAAGAATTTTCTTCAGATTAACAAGTTTACGAACCACGACTAGTTTATCGTCCGTGTAACGGTGGTAGCGGTTTAAGATACTTATTGCCTACGCATTTCGACACCCTTTAAAATTTACCACCATTGTACCCGACAATGTCAAATGTAGGGAGATAATATTAACACAATTTACAACTGTCGGAGACATTTACAATTAACTGAATCACGGGGAATGCTGATCCTCAGCAATCCAAAAATTCCCATTTATTAGCATGAATCAAAGGAGGCAGAATCTGAGTAAAGAATTCCTTTCGGTAATTCTCATCAGACTCATACATTACATGTTGTGGAAAAAGTGCTAAATGTGCCGGGTTGGGCTACGTATTGAACAAATGTTTAATTTCACGGGTACACACTTGCCACTTCCAATGTCCTCGTGATTTATTGATTTGTACCCGTGAAATTAAACATTTGTTCAATACGTAGCCCAACCCGGCACATTTAGCACTTTTTCCACAACATGTAATGTATGAGTCTGATGAGAATTACCGAAAAGAATTCTTTACTCAGATTCTGCCTCCTTTGATTCATTTACAATTAAATAGAAAGTGCATATTCTAGGTGCAGAGAAACTTTATCTTTCTAGCGCTTTGCGTATGATTGATGATGAGTATTCCTGATTTATTAACTGTAATCAATTTCTGCAACTAGTGTAACCTTGGTATAATGCAACCAAACGTCCAGGGTGGACATTACATTTGCAGTAATTTTGGAAGCCTTTAAGCTTCAGACAAACTGGAAGCTATCAACTAGGTAATAAATTATGAGCCTTGGTCGATTAGTTTCAGTTTTTCATACAAGGCACTAAGTGACCGCATGGCAGCTTTATTGCACTAAGATTATGTCTTTCTTGAATTTTTGCAAACTACAAACCCTTGTAGCGTTTGTACCATTTAGTTTGATGCCATCATAAGGAGCATTGCAAAGGTACCCCTTAGACATGTAAGCTCTTAGCATTTGGGGTGTCACAAATTGCTTCGTTCCTTCCATTAACAATTCACGCAAAATCTTCATTTCGTTGCTCGATTTTTTGTCAGTTCAGCTATTTAGTCCTTTCTTTCGCATAAACAGTTCAAGCACCCTTGTCGTATTTGTATTTTATGACCCTGAGCTTGCGCTCTAGGTATTTTAGCGTATACACGTTAGTTATTCCTTAACGGGCCATGAGTAGCAACCAGCAGTTTGCAATACTGCGAACGACATTGTGACAAAAGGCAACTGAGAGGTTCGGGAATCGTAGTCGACTTGGCGATTAACCTTTTTATCTGGTGATATAAGCTGTAAAGTTTTACCACATAATCAAGCTGGTTGTCTTTGTGTCTAGTGTAGCAACACAGTAAGCCAAGCGATAGAAATTTGATTACATTCGCGTCCATTTTCAAATGAGAAAGCTGTGCACGTACATATCTGGCCTGTTTGGAAACGTAGCGAACGTCTTAAGCTGGCTCAGCCCTCTTGCTTATGTAGAACGTTCCCTCTGTACACAGTTGCGTGTAATGGACTAAACGTTATTCAAAACATTTCTTTCTCATGAGACCAAAATTTCTTGGTGTCCGGTGCTGTGATTCATATCTTTCGAATTAGTTATTATTGAATGGCACAGTGGCACTATGGATTATTGTTAGTGGTCTATGCTTCATGCCACTAAGAAAACATCAAGCACGGTTAACTGTACTTTAGTAAATTTACTAAGCTCAACGAAATTATTGAAGAAATTAACAAGGAATTCAAGTATATCAATCGTATTGGAGAAACTCAGGAAACAATTGAGCCTCACCAAGGATGTGGGCACAACCACTTTAAGTTTCATAGCAATTCCCACGTAAGTAACGGGAGAAAGGGATGGTGCGATAACCTATGCTTGCGAAGATACATTCTCATGCAGTTATACTCATATGAGGTGGTGAAATAAACACTATTACATACCCAGCACCCCGAAAGAGAACATTCAGTTAATTTCTGTGAGATTCAACAGACGACTGTCCCAGTGAAATCTCTTCCAATATTAGCACAATTGTAAGGAAATAAGCTTCCTTACAATTGTGCCATTGGCGAGAGTATCATGTTGCTTTTTGCCTCTAATCCGCGAATTTTTCTAAGTTAAATGGGTGAAACGGAACACACAAAATAACCATTGCTGACGGCCTAAATGCCAAAAATGAGATCACCTTTGATGCAAACTAATGGTGAACCATCCTCATTTAGAATGTGGGGTACTTGCCAATCCTATTTTCTCTGATAATTGGCGCCCCGGTTGCAAGGTAAAGTTTTACGCCTTTAGCATTAAAAATGGACATCATTAAGCAAGCCACTCTTTCTTAAGCTATAAGTTTCAGTAAAGCATTATCACGAAAGTCGAAGCTAGCAAATGTCCGGATTTTTGGATTGGTTTGTAAGTCCAGTAATCACGCATCGGTTAACTGGAACATAAACACATAATAACGATGAAACATAACTAGTGATGCAAGTAGAAATATTTAACTCTGCTTCACAAATCATTCTCAAAATGGGAAGAAATTTCAGATGGTTAACCGTGGCTCACTAAACATTGTTTACGAACGATAAGGTAGTAATTTTCAAAACTCTAGGTGAGGTTAAGATTTAGCAACAAAACAATAGCATTGACACAGATTTACCCGAACGTTTTGATATAATTTTAGCTGTCCGAATTACTCTTAACTGATAATTACGCCACTTAACTTTGCATTGAATGAGCAACATCCGCAGTTGATTGTTGTAACAGCAGATAACAGATTCCCACTACAAGTTTAATGCTTAAACTTCTGCAAGTATGCTCAACCTAAGCAAATTTTGCTTGCTGTCGGAAAAGTTGAACTTACATAACTGATGGATAAGTGACTAGTTTACGAGTCAAGAAACGTTAATTTTTGCATTTCTTTAAAATTGTGTTTGACGATAGATCGTTATTCTACTATGCTGATATTGGTAGCTATTTAGCTACGGGAATGTCTATAATACATTGATAATTAAGTAGGCACATAAGAATATGTAACAAACAACAGACGTATCGCAAGGGTATAAATATGTGCTGTTCGTGTTTACGTCCAACATAAGAACCAAGACTTATGGCTCTTCAATTATCTAGTTAGACTTCCTTGTAGCTCTTAACAAGCTATTCAGATTGTATTATTCCAAATTACTGATCATTGTCTAAAATACACTTATTTAGTACCAGCATAAGCTATTGAGTTAAAAATTCTATGTCAAAGCAGCTGGAAACATTCCCTATATATATCGGCTAATGAAATGACTTTAATCAACTTATATCTACAACTGTAGCATTTTCATATGATTTAGCAGCCATAACTAAAACTATTATAAACACACACGTTTTCCCTCGTCGTTTATTACTGATCACATGAATAGCAAGCTTCATGATCTAAACTACGCATGATAGGTTGATGCGCTAAGCATCAAACATGCCACGGACTTAAATTTTGTTTACAATATCAATGCAACAATTCTCACTTCATGATTTTTTATGGTCTTCCTTAAAATTTCAGTACGGTTTAATGCTTGAGACACCAATATATTTCTGTTTACAAGTAAAATCAAATTTGCCTTTATTGAATTTGTATCTAGCGCTTACTGATATATTATTTTTCCATGACGGGA